AGACCCGTAAAGACGAATATATATATATATATATATATATATATATATATATATATATATATATATATATATATATATATATATATATATATATATATTCGTCTTTACAGGTCTCTTTACGGGCCTCTATATAGCAATTAGCCGGAGGAGGATTAACCACCATACAAATAGATAAAATAATATAATAAAATTATAAAAGATGATTTTATAATTTTAAATTGTTTTAAAGATTATTATCTTCAGTGATTGATACGACAACTTAAATAATACTTTCTTTGTCGTGTTTAGTTAGCGCTTTGCGAAAAGCGCAATTGGTTTGATTCTGAAAAAAATAATTTGTTGAACAATGTGGTTTTTTTAATATACATTTTAGTTTCCTAATGTTTTGTTTCTTAATAAAGAAATTCTTAAAATTCTATAATAATAATTGTTAAATTAAAATTAAACTTAATTACTTTATATCAAAATATTGTAATAGATTCTAGCAGTAGAACCGGTAAGTCAGGAGGTTTAAAATTCTTACTTAAATGCTTTTCCGCGACGCTCTGTGACAAGACTGCTAGGTCTTCTTGGGGCACCTAAAATAAGAAAAAAAAAATCAATTTCAATATTTAGTACACTCTTCTTAGTAATTTCTTTTCTTAAGAATTTTAGTTCATCTACTGATAATAAAACTACATTTAATTCTCGATAACTCGAACCTCCAATGGACCAAGAAAAATGGTTTGACTTAACTAATGTTTAACTACAGCAAATTCCCGTTGAGTTGAACTTTGGCTGATATGAGATATTAGTTAAAGTTAAGGCGAATTTTCCTTATTTAATGATGCAGTATATACATTTAGTTTACACTGTAATACTTATGTTTCAAAGAAAGGATGTTACGAATTGTATTCACGCAGTACAGTAAAAAAAAAACATTCGAAAAAGTTAAGCTAGACATTGACTTCTATATTATTTGGTAATAAAAAAGCATTTAAAAGATAGCGTGCTTTTATTTAGAAATTTATTTAACTATAAAACAATTGTTTTATCTACGGTTTTATCACGGTTTACCTTTAAGAGTTTTATTATAGCATTATTTTACGTTGAATAATGATCTATTCTATTCAGATATATTTACAACGAAAAAAGACTAAAAAAAATAAAAAAAAGGGTATCTTTGTATATGTTTTATATAGAGTGACTTGTTTTGTTTTTTTAAATAATGTCAATATATTAAATTCCCATACAAAAGTTTGAGTTATCGGAAGAAATTTGCTGAAAGGGGACGAAATAATGGTTTAACTGAAGAAAGTCGATCGACTTAAACGGAGAATTTTAATAGTTATTGATTAAACGACTTCAAGAGACCAAATAAAACAATTTGAGAAAATAAAAGTTCGAGTATACCGGTATTTGTCTCCCTAGGAATTAACAGTATTTTATATGGTATAAGTATACCAGTATTTTATATGGTATAAGTATACCGGTTTATTTGTTTGACAAATAAACCAGGTTCATTATTCAGATTTTTGAGTTAATGAAAGTTACACAAAAAAAATTTAATTTGTATTAAACTTAAAAAAGTGAGAGATTTATGACAACGGTTGTTTTATTCTCAAAAAATTAGTTTAACTATTTGGACACAAATCACAAATGAAATATTGCATTTAAACTATATTGGAAGTAATCATAACTCAATACATTCACTACATTTTTTTTATAGGTAAAAATTTATAATATCAATTTTAATAGCATGTACTTTTACAACCTCTTCATGTGTAACAATATGAACTGCATACCAAATTATTTTTTAAACATTTACATTGTTTGTTGATGCTGCCATTTAGATATACACATTATTTAAAACCTTGACCACTACCAATTGAATCTAATTGTACAAACTTTCGCAAATTCTTTTCTTCTTTGAGAACATCATCGACAGTTAACTGATAATATTTTGTGGATTGAATACTATTACGTTCCAAAAAAGAATTTAATATTCCATGCTTTGTATCAACTTTGTGTTTTCCACATCTTTCTTCAATTATCATCCCTATTAAATTAGCTGGATCTCCACGTCCACGATCAAACTGGCTAATACCAATAAGTACACTATCAACTATTTTTAGAGGATCTAACTGTTTGTTTAATCTTCCAACCATTTTCTTTGCCTGAACACGCAAACTATGAGGAGGAAATTCTATATTTTTATTTGCTGGGTGGATAGAAGCTGCAATATTTGGCGTTGAGTTCTTCTCAAGATATGTATTATCCAAATAAACAATAGTATTGTTACTAATAATACTCGTACTCTTTATCTCACCTCCAAGACTTTCCAAAGCTTGATTAATTGTATTTAATATAGTTAGTTCGTTTTTTATACTTTGTGATATATCAAACAATGGTGACATTTTATCTACACTAGTAACAAATACTGGTATGTCATGATGTCATGATCATGCAATATATTTTTTCACAAGTCATTTCCTCTTGTAAAACAGCATATTTACAACTAAAAATTCTTTTTCAAAAACTAAACTGTTAATTTTCATTAAAAGTTCTTGAGGAATTAATGAAGATGAAATTCTAAAATTAAATTAAAGTTAAAAAAATAAAATTAAAAAGATTTAATGAAGATGAAAGTTCCTGAGGAGTTAGTAAAGATTATGTCATTCTAGGTTTCTGACCAAACACAGCACTTTATGGATTCATTTTAACAACTTTGTGATAATGCATTCCCAGTGAACAATACATAATCCATAACTCCATTTAGTTGTTTTATTGTTTCTCATCTATTTAGTCAATCATTTTTTTTGTTGAATTGCTTCGCTCAACTTAACCTTGAATTTGCAGATATCGTGGTATGCTATTAACTAATAGTAGGTTTTTCCACAACAACCCTAATTCTAGAATAACTAAACTTGTAAATTCCTTTCCTTTATCTGATTGTAAAATATTCGGAGCCCCAAAGAGCCCTAAAAAAACATTATATAGTTCTATGGCAACTTCAGGTGCTTTCTTTGTCATTAGAGGACGCAAAATACTATATTTTGTTAAATGTTCTTGATAGTAAAAGATAAACTAAAAATTACCATCAGGCAAACTTTGAAAATCAACGGGATCAACTAGTCCTCTTTGATTAAAGTAATTAACTGTAATATGACGGACTGCAATTTCTTTATGCACAGGTTTCCTTGAGTTTTAACTCAAGGAAGTCTGTGCATAAAAGTACTTTACTTAAAATTGCACCTTTCGTATTTGCTCATAAAACTCTTGACAAAAGCTTATTTTACATTACTGTAATGTTCAATATTTTTTTAAATGTGTTTTTTTCTTTGCCTTATGGCCAAATGAAGTATGCACGTTGGGGATTATAGTCATAATATTATCTTTTGTTGACATAATTCTGTTTATAATATTATCTTCTGTTGCGTTATTTCGTCTCATAATCTTGCAACTTTTGCTATTCCATCAAAAATAACTAATTTTTAAGTACTTTTCATATCAAAATAATTAATAAGTAATTTCCTAATCAAAAGCCTTAGAAAAATTAATTTATTATTGTATTCAGAGTTTAAAATTTCAATAATGTTATTTTCCTCATTTTTGCTATATTACATTTTATGGTTTTTTGCTTCAGTTGACATTTTATAGTTTAAACTTTAAATAGTTTTATGAATTTTGAAGAGTTGATATAATTGAATAACTGATTCAACAGTTTAAAATTTCAAAAGGTATTGATCAAATTATTTTTGATAACCCTCAAGTCTACGCACCATCGATTTACAAATAGAATTTACATGGACATTATCTTCGACTCGAACGTCAAATGGTAAAAAACTGTCGCATCGTGAATGTTTGGAATACGCTGTCTTTAGACGCCATAAGAGGTGAATCAGTTAACTCGTTCAAGGTTAGTGTTCATAAATTGAAATTCGTAATAGACGAATGATCGGACACACGAGTGTGTTCTTTCAGCATGGTAGTACCTGGTGTAGCACTTCCTCATCAAAATATATAAATGTATTATATAATTGATTTCTAAATAAATAAACTCAAACTCAAACTCATAATGTTGTTTCCCTCGGTTATGCGTTATAATTCTATTTCGCAAATTCAACAACAGCAGCGCCGAATTCGTGAAATACGTAAAATTTTGCATATATTACAAATTTGCTAATTTCGCTAATTCGGCGTAACATATGCAATAAGAAAAAAACAAACTATTTTGAATTCTTACTAAAAAATCAGTTAAATACTTTTTCTTTGCTAACCTATTTACTTATTTAATAATAGAGCGATGCATAACGCATCAGTTCTATTAATATATAAAACAGTAACATTAATAACCATATCTAGGAGTGGGTTTTCTTAAGTTTATGATAAAAACGGGATTTAAAAACATGACTCAACCTCCATAAAATTTTAAAAACTTTTTTTTTTTTGAAAAAGTAATAATCCTTAAAAACTATAACCAAGTATAATTGCTAAAAACATAAATTTTCATTCCACGCCACTCCATATTCAATTTATATAGATTAATGCATTGTCGCTAGTTCAACTGCACACAGTTGAACAACGTTACTCATAGTTGAACTGCGTCCAGTTGTGTTAATAAATTTCAGTTTTACTTCTCCACCATATTGCTGTTTTGGTAACGCTGATGCATTCAAACGATTCAATTTTTTTCTTATTTAACATTATTTATGCTTTATTAAAATTAAAGATATGTTAAAATAATATAATCATAGTTAATAACAATATAAAATAATATAACCACAGTTATAATAATAATACAAAATATAATTGCATTGAAACAAGTACTTTTTCGATTGTTATATTTTCCCTTTTATAAAAAACATAAATTATAAAGCTATAAATAAAATTAATTCGATAAATAAACTATAAATTGTTGTTTTTTTAAATTGTTTATTTTCTTCAGTAATTTATACAACGATTTAAATCGTAATTTCTTCATCGTCATCAGTTGGCTCTTCGTCATCAGTTGGCTCTTCGTCATCAGTTGGCTCTTCGTCATCAGGGTGGCTTTCAAAGAAATGTTTCATAGGATTGATTTTAAATGAAATAATTTTGTTGAACAATATATTTTTTTCAATACAAATTTAAATTTGCTAACGTTGATGAAGTTTCCCAATTTCTGTTTTAGTTTATAATAAAATAATAAATTAAAAATTAAACAATTATCTTGTATCAAAATATTATAGTAGATTTGATAAGTTATACTTCTAAAATGTAATGTAGAAAATGTATAAAGGTTTTTACCTTTATGCTTAACTTTTAGCACTACTTGAATGCTGTACAACTTTTATATACTTTTGAAATTCAAAAACTCTGCTTTTATATAAAAATTTATCCCATAGTATTTGATTTTAGAAGTATGACACTATAAAAAATAAAATCATATATTTTGTTATATACATTTTTAAATTTGGCTAAGCTCGTACAATAAACAGGAATTCCTTCATTTATTTTTAATATTTTATTTTTGATAATTTATTTATGGAAATATTTCTATTTCAGTCTGCTTATATAAATACTACTAAAAGTTTTATATATTTTATACGAACATCCGCATTATTTAAAGATTGTATTTTATAAATTTGACTGCTCTTACTAATAGTAGAATTTTTTTTATTGTTTAAATGTATAGGATTTAATAACTGTCGTAATAACGTACAATCATTAGTGTTATATTAACACTACATACTGCTAATTAAATTGAAAACACGCCTAAATTATCCTAATAATTAGAAAAATTAAATTTAAAAACTCCTAAAAGTTATTTTTTTTTTGAATATTTTTGGTAAATATGTAAAGAACATTTTGAACCATTGGTACTTTTACTTTTTTTATTGAATTATTATTCCGAATTAAATTTGATGAAGTACTATTACATTTTCTTGTCATTTTTTGACGATTTAGTGAGTCTTTATACGTTTGTCAATGTGTGAGTGTGTACCCAGCTAGCACACTTACATTGGGCCAACGTATGTAAAACCATCGCAAACGTCGGCTCTTTTTTCCAATGCAAAACCAACGTTGATCCAATGTCATTTGGATAATAATAAAATTATTACCGACGGAACTAAAACATCTGGTAAATTTACATTGGTCCAATGTATGTAAAAACATCGCATAAATTTAATTGTTTTTACGATCTAAACCCAACGTTGATTCAATGTATGTATTTCGACGTTGATTCAATGTATATAAATTAACCTTGATCCAATGTATGTAAATACATCGCAAAAAGTTGATTGTTTTTACAAACTAAACCCAACGTTAATCCCATATATGCGACCAAATATTGCTATTACGAAATTATATAACTTAAATAAAATCCTCCATGATTATTAAAATATCAAACCACAATCAACACAAACATGATTTTTGTTCCTATTGTCAAGCGTTAATTGTAGTATATATATATTTGTTTGTACACAATGTTTAAGTCATATGTTAGACGACAAAGGAAGTTGAGTTCATGCTAAGTGAACTTTAATGAAAGTGAACTTTTAAAAGCTTACTTGTAACTTTGTCCGCTTTCTCTATGCGAACTTTCTAACTCTACTACTTCTGTCTTTCACTTTGAGATATATTAGTTTTCCCAAACTCACTTTACTCTTGGTCCGTTGAGCGGGTTATGACGCTCCTTGGTAATGTGGCAACTATCCTCCGGCTAATTGCCACATTACCAAGGCCACATTACTTAGCTAATTGCCACATCACTTAGCGGGCCTTGGTAAAGGGATTGCGGATTTACCACAATCCCTTTAAGTCGTATGTATATGTATATATATTTAAATATATGTATATATATATATATATATATACATATATTTATATATATATATATATATATATATATATATATATATATATATATATATATATATATATATATATATATATATATATATATATATATATTATATATATATATATATATATATATATACATACATATATATATATATATATATATATACTATATATATATATATATATATATATATATATATATATATATATATATATATGTATATTGTATATATATATATATATATATATATATATATATATGTATATTATATATATATATATATATACATATATATATATATATATATATATATATATATATATATATATATATATTATATATATATATATATATATATATATATATATATATATATATATATATATATATATATATATATATATATATATATATATATATATATATATATATATATATATATATATATATATATATATATATATATATATCCTTCCTAACCGCTGTCGCAAAACTTGCCCACCTCTGGCCAAGTTTTGCGACAGCGGTTAGAAAGGAGACGTGAAATTCCAATTAAATGCTTATCCGCAGAGCTCTGTGAAGACACTGTAAGGATTTCTTGGGGCACTTAAATAAAGTTAAAAAAAAAGGCTTTAAATAAGTCATGCTTTCATATAAAAATACTCATTTTTATGAAAACTACGTATTGTACTTTTCAAATTTATTGCAAAATATTATTGATGTTATTTAATTGTATTTAAACCAGTGTTTTTAGTTAATTTAGACTGTCATTTTAATAATCTTAATTACTTTAAATAAATGCATAACATTTTCATAACAGTGTCATCTTTTTAAGAAACGCTCTAAATCTTTATTTTACTTATCAAAGCAGCCGTGGCGCAGTGGTTACAACTAAAAGACTTAAATAATAAAGTTATGTTATTGTTTTCGTAAAAGTTCCACAAATAAATTTTCAAAAATATGTTAAAAATAAGTAATAATTGAATTCCTTAATTGAGATGTATGTGGCTGGATAGCTCAGTTGGTTAGAGCGTCAAACAAAAAGTTAAAGCCCGGAATTTTGTACGATACGGGCTCAAATCCTGCCACCGCCAAATCAGTATTTTTAAGTACAATTAAGTTCAATTTTAAGTATACAAAACTATAAATAATGATGAAATTGTTGGTACTACTCTATATGGAAACTTGACTTGTGTTGTAGCTTATGCTGACGACATCATTCTTCTCAGCTCTACTCTCTTGGGCCTAAAAAAACTTATTTCAACGTGTAGCATATACAACAATTTAAACGAGATAAAACTTAATGCTTTAAAACGGAACTTTTGCTCTCTGGGAAAAGAAAAATAATGAACTGCACAATATCTCTAGACAACCATTAAATTATACTTCGTGAGAAACTTAATCATTTCGGCTTTACTAGGGATACAAAATAATCAATTTTTGCTTCACTAAGTAGAATGAATATTGATAGTAGGGTATCAAATTTCCGGGCAGTGCAAACTCATATTCAATCTGGAATCCGGTTTGCACATCCAAGTTCTATTATCCAATTATATAAATCATTAGCAGTTTCAAAGTTAACCCACGGTCTAGAGCTCTGTGAAAATAAAGATGCAACAATGACAAGACTCGACACATTTTTTTTTTTTTTTTTTTTTTTTACTTCACATCCTCAAGGCCGAGAAGGCCACTACAGACGAGGAGGCTACTTATTTTGTGGCTATAACCCTCTCTCAACTCTATAACTCCGAAACACAAACCTTGACGAACAAGGCCGCTGCGCGGAGAAACGAGAAGAAGGAAGGAACGCAGTTAAATCAATTTTTAATGTCTCCAAGTATAGTAAAAACTATATACATTCTCTATTTAAAATTAAGGAGATGTCAAATTATATACAACAAAACAAAATAAATCTATTTATCCAATTTTAAACAATAAAGTAACCTTTGAAATCATTAACTCCCAACTTAACTATAGTTCAGCTAAATTTTCTTTTTTAGATGATATAAAAGAAATATGTGATAATCATAAATTGAAATGAAAACCTTAATGCTGGTTAAAAAAAAAGTAAAACTTAAAGTCTTAGAAAATGTAATTTCTGAAGCTACTTTTCATATTTTGGTACACGCGGTTCAATGTTAGAATGTAAAAGAACAGCGAACAATTTTTAAAAAGACATTTGAAGAAAACATTCCTAAATAATACTTTTTTTTATCTCTTTTTCTTAGTTTGTGTTTTTACCTTGTAAATTTATTTTACAGAAGGTGATTAATAAAATATTAATAAATAAATAAATAAATAGTACTACTGTACACAAAAATATTGGTCAATAACGCTACTTTGAATTAGTCTCAAAGACTATTTGTGGCTGTTCGTATGCAACAACATTTTCGGATAAAACATTGTATAGAAAAATATAGCATGAAAATTCAAATAAATGAAAAATAAAAATATAACTTACTAAATCTAGTGCAACAAAATAATTGAGTATAATTTTTAACTTAATGATAATTATTATAAAATTTTGGAAATTTCTTTGACGTCAGCAAATCAAAATGTGTATCGAAGAAAGCACAATTATTTTATTCAAAATCTTATGAAACTTTTTTACGAAATCCTGATGACGTCGCCATTTGGCGACGATGAAGAAATTTCTTTTTAAGAAGTCGCATCGATTATTGAAAAGAATAAATTTAATTACAATTAAAAACAACTATTATTTGCAATTAATTTATACAGTTTATTTTATTTATAAAATGTTAAATATAAGAACAGGGAAAGTATACATTTCAACGCAAAATACCTAATATTTTATATTTTTTCATAAGATTTTTGCGAAAAACTTGTGACGTAAACGGACGTGCTTTTGTAAACTAAATTAAAAATAGCTAAATTTACCGTTTCTCAAATTAAAGATCTATTAGATATTCATGAGAATACTTTATTGAAAATATATAACGAGAAGTTTGATAAAATGGAAATCAAACTATTAAATCTTCAAGAAGAAAATTCAAAACTAAAAAAAGAAACTAGTGAATTAAGGAAATCGGCAGAGTTTCTTAGCGAGAAATATGAATCAATTGTTCAAGAACTTTCTGAAATAAAAAAAAAGCCTAACTCAACATCAAGCCAGAATGATATAACAAATGTTGTTGTCAAAGACAAACTTGCTGAGTTGGAAGACAGAAGCAGAAGAAATAATCTAAGGTTTACAGGAATTGAGGAAGACGAAAATGAAACGTGGGAATTAAGCGAAGAAAAGATTCAAAATGTTTTAAAGTCAAAACTTGGTTTTAAAGGTAATGTTGAAATTGAACGTGCGCACAGGACGGGGAAAAAAAATAGCGATGGAAAAAAGTATAATAGAACCATAATAGTAAAATTTTTAAATTACAAAGACAAAAAAACTGCGTTGGATAACTATGTTCAGTTAAAATTGTGGAACGATCGGCTTTTCGTAAACGAAGACTACAGCGAAAGAACTTTGGAATTGCGAAAACAGTTATTTAAAGAAGCAAAAGATCTGAGAGCCAAAGGTAAATATGCTAAAGTTGTATATAATAAACTTGTAACGCGCGACAATTAAGAAATTCTTTTATATTAGAGTTATTATTTTATCTTAAATTTTTTATTGTTTTTAAATACTAAAATGGATTCAAACCAGTTAAAGAATTTTGATATTTTTCAAGTCAATGATTTTATACTCAAGAAAGAGTCCGATCCGGATCAAAGTTTTTTTAGCGAAACAGGTGCTTTACAAAGCAACTGCAGCTGTTTCTATAGTTATGAAATAAAAGAATTTCTTGAGCATGATAAATTTAATGCAGTTCATATAAATATAAGAAGTTTAAAAAAAAATTTTGAAAATCTTTGCAATAGTTTTGAGGAAAATTTAACTCTTTTTAGTGTAATATGCATAACTGAAACTTGGTGTAGTTCTAATGACTCAAGTTTAGATAATAAATTTAAAATACCGGGCTATAATTTGATTTCATTAGGACGGAAAACAAATAAACGCGGCGGTGGTTTAATTATTTATGTAAAAGAAAACCTTCAGTATTATATTAGGCATGACATGAGTATTTCTGATGTCAATAAAGAGGTTTTAACAATTGAAATATTGAACAATAAAACTAAAAACATTGTGATAAGCTGTTGTTATCGCCCACCTTCAGGCGAAATTAAAACTTTTAGTACATTTTTACAAGATGATGTTATATATAAAAGCAACCATAAAAAAAAATTACTTTACATATTAGGTGATCTGAATTTAAATTGCTTTGAGTATCATGTCAAAAAAGACATTAATGGATTTTATAATGGCCTATTTGAAAACGGAGCAGTTCCTCTAATAAACAAACCAACTAGAATTACTCAAACAACAACTTCCTTAATTGATAACATTATAACCAACGATATTTTTAATAACTCGCTTAAAAAAGGCATTATTAAAAGTGATATATCTGATCACTTCCCTATATTTTTTTCAATTGATATTGATGCGAAAATTATATGTTATGAAAAAAAATCATTTAAAAAACGAATTTTTCATAATAAAAACCTAGAATCTTTTAAATATCAACTATCGTTAATTAATTGGGACATAATAAACTTTTCTGAAGACATTAATTTAATATACAAATCCTTTTTTAAAATTTTTTATGAAATTTATGACATCAATTTTCCCAAAGTAGAAGTACATTACAAATATAAAAAAATTGTATCGCCATGGATTACCAAAGGTATTTTAAAATCTTCAAAAATTAAGCAAAAACTTTATATTAAATATTTAAAATCAAAAACAACTGAGAGTAAGACTATGTATAAAAATTACGTAAGATTATTTGAACGCCTAAGGAAAAATTCAAAAAAAATATATTTCACTAATTTACTTGAAAAATACAAATTAAACTCAAAACGCACTTGGCAACTAATAAACGAAATTAATAGTAACACTAAAAAAATTTCGCAATCTTTGCCCTCAGTTATTAAAGTAGATGATAATCTTCTTCTTGATCAAAAATCAATTGCTTCTGAATTTAATAAATATTTTGTATCTGTAGGACCAAACCTAGCCGAAAAAATTCCGAACCCTAAAAAATTAATAAAAGCAACATATGACCCTCTAAACTCGTATCTAAATTCTTTTGATTTGTCTTTTGAAGAGTTTGAAAGTGCTTTTAAATTGTTAAAGTCAAATAAAGCAGTTGGTCCTGATGATGTCAACGGAAATATTATTATAAGCTGTTTTGACGTTTTAAAAGACATACTTTTCCAAATTTTTAAATGCTCTATTAATCAGGGAGTTTTTCCTGATGATTTAAAAATAGCAAAAATTATTCCTATATTTAAAGAAGGAGAAAAAACTAATGTAAAACACTATCGTCCAATTTCCATTCTCTCTGTTTTTTCTAAAATTTTAGAAAGAATCTTGTACAACAGAATATACAATTACCTTTTAACAAACAAATTATTATATAACATGCAATATGGGTTCAAAAAAAATAATTCAACAGAGCATGCAATTATTCAGCTTACAAGAAGTATATCAGACTCATTTAACAATTCTAAATTTACATTGGGAATATTTATTGATTTAGCGAAAGCGTTTGATACAATTGATCATCAAATTCTTATTAAAAAATTAGAATATTATGGTATAATAGGCAATGTTTTAAAATGGTTGAAAAGTTATTTAACTAATCGTAAACAATTTGTTTATGCTGATAAATCATTTTCATCAAGTTTGTTAAATATTACATGTGGAGTTCCTCAAGAATCCATATTAGGACCTCTTCTCTTCCTTATTTATATTAATGATCTATACAAAGCCTCGAATTTAATAACAATTATGTTTGCTGATGACACTAATTTATTTATGTCTCACAAAAGCATTCCTACTTTATTTCATAACGTGAACATCGAGTTATTCAAAATATCTGACTGGTTTAAGACAAACAAACTATCCCTGAACATTGATAAAAATAAATGGATTCTTTTCCACCCTCTTACCAAAAAACATAAACTGCCAATTAACATGCCTCCACTTGTTATTGACAATATACAAATTAAAAAAGTAACAGTACATGGAAAAACCACATTAAAAACTTATCAAGAAAAATTTCAAAAAGTATAGGAATATTGTACAAAGCGAGAAATGTCTTAAATAAAAAAACTTTAGTACAATTATATCACTCATTTATTCATTGCCACATAAACTATGCAAACATTGCTTGGGGTAGTGCAAATAAAAACAAACTTAAACCTCTTTATTGTCACCAGAAGCATGTAGCACGTCTTATATATTTTAAAGACCGTTATACTCATGCCAAGCCTCTTTTATTTGAAATGAAAGTTTTTAATATATACGAGATTAATATTTTTAATATTCTTTGTTTTATGTTTAAATGTAAAACCAATTCATCCCCGATTTCTTTCCATAATTTGTATTCATCAAAAGATAAAAATAAATACATTTTACGCAATAATAATTTTATTAAGCAGCCCAATTTTCAAACAAATCTTTTTAAATTTTGTATTGATTATCGCGGACCATTCTTATGGAACAAAATAGTTTTAAAAAATTTTACTGAGAATTTTATTAATAAAAGTAACTACTTTTCTTTTAAAAAAAAGCTTAAAGAACTCATTTTTGCAATCGATGATTTAACAATATACTTCTGATATTTTTTGTGATCTTTATTTTTACCATTTACATGAACTTATAAAAAGTATATGTGTATCCTTAACAACTATAATTTACATATATAATAGATAAAACGCATCTTGTATTTATTATGGATTATTTTAAGTTTCTTACTTTTGTTAACTTATTTTTATTTTTTAACCTTGTAATTATATTTTTAATTTTAACACGAACATTTCTTAGCGGTACTCGACGACAAGACCGTATGGTCTTCTACGAGTCCCTGCGTTCTTTTATTTTCTAATAACGACCATTATATTTATATATAAATTTATTATTATGTATTTGTATTTGAACTATTGTAACGAAATGCTTATTTTACATGTAATAAAAGAACAAAAAAAAAAAAAAAAAAAAAAAAAAAAAAAAATATTATTGTAATTTTGGTTGACTTTTGTTAATATTATCATACAATTTTATTATTTTTATATTAAAAAAAATAAAACACTTAGGTGCTTTAACGCGTGTATAAAAGCAGGTATAACATTTTTAAGAAGTAAACTTAACGAAATAAGTACTTAAGGTAACCTTACAGAAACTACTTTTAAGTGGTAGCTTGTATAAGGTATTTATAAAATTTGTTAAAGATAGGGGAGACAGTTGTAACACTTTTTCAAATACTATACTTTTTGTAACACCAATTTTTTATAAATTTTTTTTGATATTGCGTCCCGTTTTAATTTGTAAAACCAAAAACTGGGGCTGAAGCTTATTATTATATTATACTGTAGGCTCTGTCTTATGATAAATCCGGTGTGAGAACCTATAAGTTTAGAGCTAGACTAAAATTAAGTGTTGTATTTGCGTTGGAATTAATATTTTAATACGGGGTAATATTATCGTTAATATT